AAGGCGTTTCCAGGCGCAAGCAAGGTGACAGTAGTAAGTACCATCATCGGCGGAAAGGCAAAGACAATTGAGAAGGAATTTAATGTTGTGACAATGATTGAACTGCCTCATGAGCTCAGCCTTGTGCTGGTCAAGCACAATCTTGGGCGACAAAGCGCAAAAGTCCGGTAGGAACTTGTGGACGCAGGAAAGAAGCTGCGAGTAGACCTACAATGCTTGAAGCGGCGAGGCCACATTGCCCAAGAGCGGGAGAGTGTCCCGTGGACCTTGCATGAAGCGCATGGAAGCCGGTAGGCCCAGGAAAAGGGCCGCTACTGCGGGGTGTTGTAGCCGGGGTTGTCCTGTCAAGGCTGAAGCGACACAGAAGCCTCATACTCCACGAGGACGAAGGGAGGCGTCTGACATAGCTGAGTCTGGAGCAGGCGGAAAACCTCCGTACGAATGTAGCAGTGTAGGAAGCACATGCTGTGGGCCATACCACCGTTGATCATCTCCATACAGGCCATCCCCAAAGCCCCGTGCTCCTGTTCGGTGAGAGCATGGAGATCGGTTTCCTCATCAACATCCGCATGGAGAAGCGAGCCAATCGACTGACCATGGGCAAAAAGGACCTGCCATCCAAACTGGTGGAGCACAGATGCACCACCAGCGCAGCCTTTTCATAGGCCATTGTTCCTTCAAGTCCAGCTCATACTGAATCTGCTCCCAGCCTGGTGCATTGTTGAGCAATTGCAAAGCTTGTAGAACTGCGGCGTTCTGGCCAGCTGCAGGAACACATTCCGCAATCAATGCCTGAACTGGCAGAAACCAAGCCACACGAAGGGAATAAAGCAGTGTACCGAAACGATGGTCGCGCTCAGCAAGTTGACGTCCCTGTGCACTGAAAGGCTGACAAGGGAGTCCCAAGAAAGCCGTAGCCGATCTAGAACCCAAGTGGATGTGCATCTCAAAGATGGGCTGCAACTCCTCCAGGCCGGCCTCGAAGACCACCCCATGAGAGTTACCACGAAGATGTGCAGCAGCGTAGGGGGAAATGTCCAAGCTCGCCACCACTTCCGCTCCAGCAAATGAGGCCGCAGATAGCCCCACTCCCGGCACAAAAGATTGAAAGGCCGAGTCACGTCGTAGTGCGGCACCAGGCTGCAAGCACAGGGGTTCAGTGCAGGCCACATCCCATCGATACAACGTCCAACAAAGACTCTCATCCCCATAATCCCAGCCAAGCAGCAGAGCCTCCAAGTTCCAAGGCTGAAGGAGCACCTTCCTCATCCCGGCATCGCCGAGATCGGAACCCATCACCCGAGCAACTCCACGCCTCGCCTCCGGTCGTGGGCGCACCAAAAACGATAGCCTCCATGTGTGGACCACACCCGACCCTCGGCCGACAACACCACACCAGCTGTTAGGTGATCGGGCCAGTGGCTACTAATATACTAATATAAATAGTTAAATAGATATACAATTTGTTTATATACTAGAAACCACATGGTTCCACATTCTGCACTTTAGCGCAGGGATATCTATGGTTTGGTGTCTTCAGTATAACTATAAATTGATGCTATGGCAATACATGGCAATGTATCTGTTGTGTCTTCGTATGTCTTCGTCTTCCAAGGCCGACCAAGGCAAAACATCCGGAAGAGTGAATTGACCCGCTGGTCTGGCGGGCAACGCCGACAAGCGTTGGAGTGGAACTCGTGTTGTGGCAGGAATCCAGTGCACAGTTTTCAACATCCACGTACAGGTGATACAGGTGATAAGGCCAAATGGTGCGATTCCCGAACCGTTTCCGTGGAAAGTGAAGGTTGACCTTTTCCACCTGTCTCCTAAAAAGATGCTCAAGATTGTTCAAGGTCATCACTCATCACCTGACGAGGTGATAGTCCTGAGACATGGCTGAAAATTCGGCAACAGGCAGTGGAACCCCACTTCCGGAACGAATGTCTCGTGGCAACCCCTTGATCCGCCATGATCTCCAGGACAAACACAAATCCAAGGTTTTTCCATTTCAGGACTTTTTGTGGGGAGGGTCAACATTGCTTTAACTGCCGCAGCAACAGCCTTTGACTAGACACACCAAACGACGTTCGCCTGGTTTGACGAACTTGGGGTCAACTTGGCAGATCGACAGACACATGCGTGACACCAATGTAATGGCACATGATTAACTAAAGCACCATTTTATCAATTTATGCCGTGCTATGCACGCTTTTCTGCCGTGCTATGCTCTCAAGAGCCGTAGGGTCCCGTAGGGTTTTCAACATTAGTGAAGCGCTCCAGATTCCTGCCGTGACCGGAAAAAATAAGATGTTTGGGTCAACTGACGGTAGTGACTTTCACCACCTGCACCAAGAGCCAACACATTACGTTTACCGACCCAAAAGCCGGAGGCTGACGCAAACTTCATCTCACTGGTTTCACAGGAGATGCAACCAGTGACAGCTCCCGGAAGGATGTAGTTGGAGCACAATTGAAATTCTAACCCCAAACAACTGAAGCCTGTCCACCTTTGTATAGTATAAAACGGCTCCCCCCATGGTCCTTACTGTATAAATCCTAAAATATATAAAATCTGGAAAGTTCTCTGGGCCAACAAGCATCGACAAAGCTTCCCATTTTGTTTCAACAACCTGTCCGGAATTTCGTGCAACACCCCACTCAGGAATTGGTCACCCTGTTGAAATGTCAGCGGCACGTGCCGCGATATGCGGGTGAAACGGGATAGTCGGTCTCTTTCTTCAGATGAAGAATCATGAAAATGCACAATCAATGCAGCAAAAAAATCCTAGACTTCCAAGCAGGAACTGGCAAATGCAGAACATGAGTTACCCAATGGAATGGTTTCTACAGCACATCATGTTGGAACATCTTTGATTTGGCCAAAATTTGGTCTAAGCTGTTAGCTTGGCTGGTCCGAACGCATAAAGGCCGTGTAGATCAAGATCATTGCCGATTCACGACAGAATCAGAAAAGCACATCCTCCAGAGAAAAAACACAACCCGCGACTCCAACCCCTTGGCAATCATGCAGCTCCCCATTGTCTTTGACATCGAATGTGTTCTTTACATCTATAGCCTGTAGGGCCTATAGCAACAGACTTCCCTGAGCATGTCGCAAAAATAAGGTGATCCCTTAGCCCATGTCTCAGCAGGTGCTTTTTTATCAGCAACTGCCGCAGCAACACCCCGACCTTGATTGAGAACGTGTTTTGTTTTTTTTAAGAGACACATAAAACATCGACCAAATGATGAGATCTTTGACATCAACAAGACCCGTGCCATGATGTGCAAAAATGTGCCATGTGGTGCCACATGTGCCCACGACACATAAAGAGAGGTGTTCCATGTAACTCGTGGCCAAGAGATCCAGTTTCCCAGGATGCAAGTCATGGAGTCATTTGCTTTGGAATCGCCGTTCGCGTAAAGAGGTCGACCCGCTCCGGTCTGTGTCTTCCAAAAGAGGCCGACCTTCTGACAAGGTGTGTTCTGAACATGCGGCGCGGCTGGTGGCGCTTCAAGCTTCAAGACCAAGGTGCCTTTAAGCTTCAGCGCGGTTCATTGGAGAAACCCCTTCCTGAATTGGACCGAGCTCAGCTGTTCAGATTGGAGTTGCCACAGTTGCAAGACCTACTCTCCATAGGTCTCTTGACCTACTCTCCATAGGTTTGAACTGAAAGAAACATTTTTTTAAATTGTCTTTCTTTCCAAGGACCATCAGGAACTTCCCAAAACGACGGTGTAACCTGGCGCTTCCATGAAATTTACACGATAGAAACGACTACGAGACCTATTTTCATAAAGACCCATATCATATATCATATCAGTCTTAAGTCAGCATTGCCATAGCATTCTCTGTTTCAAAACCGCAACAAGCTCGTTGAGACGGTGTCATCGATCTTCCTTTGTCTTTTTTCCGTGCGGTGGGATTGGATGACCTCGTCGACACCGAACGAAGCAGCACCGAAGCATCGTCACCGAGCTGCTTCGACCGTCGACCATGCCAACCGAAACCGTCGACCCGGTGAACCAACGATGTGATGAATTGGTCTTCAGACCACGACGTGGAACTTCGACTCAGTCCGGTGAGGTTTTTGGCAGCAAAAATGGCTGCAACCTGGTGAGGTCTGGAGCTCCAGGCTCCTGTTTACAGGCTAACAAAATACCACTCTGGGACACCTGGAGAACCTTGTATAGAAAAATAAACCTTGTTGGTTGAGGTGGGAGGATTGAATCTTCCTTGCTCGGACGTAGATTCTTTTTCGGCCCTGCAACTCTGTTGCGCGATGCAGCTTTCTCTGCAGAACCTACAGGGAACGCTTTATACCGCTTTCGTGGTCAGTGTCAGCTTCGCACCAGGCGGGATTGGGTTTCCAAAAATCCATGGGCAGCAAAACCCATTGACATGGGAGCCAGGTCATACTGTCCAAAGTAGTGCTCCTCAGCTTGCCCTTCCGATGCTAAGCCCAACCAATCCCCAAACAACTTGCGTATACCTATTAGACCTTCCAACTATTCAAGAATATTCAAGACGTCCTGCCAACCTTGGCTGGTATCAAATGAAGTTCGATCGGTCTGCCAGTCCCAGCTCGTGATGCTTTGCCCGTTCAACAGACGTGCTCGTCCACCGGAAGAATCAAAAAACGAAACCTCGAAAGGTGTGATCCAAAACCTCGAATCTCGACGCGGAGGGCACGTTGTTCGGATGTTGCACCCCAGAAGCGCAGCAGGTCAAAAACCCAGAAACTCACCCGCTGGACAGCACCATGATCATCGCTCGCAATGATCGCCGTGTCCGCCCGTGGCATCGCTGTTTCGCCGTGTGGAACAAGGCTTTACTCAACACTATGGAACACTACTCATTGGCTGTCTGGGCTGGCGAGGATGGATGACCCCGTCCAAAACAGAAGAGGGCGGCCCCCCCAAGGGAAATGGCGTGTTTCTGTTCCATCCTCTTGCGCTGTCGGCCATATCAGCTAGGAATTCCACCTCCGATCGTTGCCCGGGCCACTTCGACACTGAACACCGAGGGGTGGCACAGTGAAACCAGATGAAACCGGTTTGCTGGCCGTCGCGCCGTGGGCGCCTTCGCGGGAACATGCCACGGTGCCTTTCAGCACTCACCACCAAATCCTCACCGAATCGGTCCACGGAAGCCTTCATCTCTTGGACCAAAATACTCTGTTTCATCGAGAGTCGAGAGGAACAATTGGAACAATCCCCCCTGGTGGTCGAAAGATGTTCATTCAATACCACGGTTTAGATGCTTTTTCCCGCGACTGTCGCACGTGCGGACGGAGGCATACCATGACTCACTCCCGTGCTGGGTTGCTCGTGCAAAAACCAAACCAACAAATCATAACTCCTCCGCCTCCTTGTCTTGGCATCTTCGCAACATAGGAAAAATTAGTGGCATAACAAACTCAATCTGCTGCCTCAGGAAGCCAAGTACGTGTGACAAAACCCAAACAAATCGAAATTCGGGCATCTAACAAGATCTGTTTCTACTAGCACCAGCCACCTGTTGGAAACTTAAAAGTGGCAGGCAGTGACCTGTTGGAGAGTGCTGGTATGGGTTTAAATTCCTTTCTTGTTACTTCATGAATACGTATCCTAAAGATCGACGGATCAAGGATCCCTTCCTGCCAGGTGCTTAAAAAACCTCAAATATTGGGTTTCATCAAGTTTTCACTACCCGGATCCCAAGTCTAAAGAATCACAAGAATCACTGCATATCACAGTTACACATACACTCTGTCTTATTCGATCCACATCATATCTCCCCCCAAAAAACATAATCTGACGATTCTCCTGCTGCTCCCATGCACGACGAAACCCGTCGCGGCCAAACACACGTCAGCGCAGCGCAACGTGCAGCGCATCGGCCCACCTTCGCCGCCATCACTCACTCAACGATCCCTCATGAGGCCCGTCTGCCGTGGTCGATCGCGAGGCCTCGGTGCGAGGAGACCGTTGCCCGAGATCGGCTCGCGGAGTTCTACTTGGTGGTTCCTTCTTGGTTATGGAACTTATAAATAAGTTACAGCGGTTACACCACATAGAAGCTTATACCGAAACGAATGCAGAAAGTGGAAGCAAATATATCCCCCCTGGTTCGTTAAGAAGACAAACCGCAAGTTCCATCAAGGCCCAGTTTTTGTATGTTTTTCCATGCACTATGTAGATGTTTTCGAAGGAGTGTCTAAACCTCACAGGCTTAGTTATTTTTCGTCTCATGGATCACAACATTTATATAGCGTCACATGTTGTCCAGTGCGAGGCTCGAAGAATCCAAAGATCCCTTCTGAAATGGCGCCAAATCCTGATCGAAAAATTGTTTCAACTCCAATCTGTTCTTTATTGTTCTGCAACATGGAAACCACTCTATAGACCTATAGGGCCCCAACCTTAGTCTCAAAAGGTGCTTACACCACCCAAAACAACCGTAACCACCTTATCAGGAGGTAGTTGGAGCTGAAGGTATACATATATATATATAGTCAATATGACAAACTCACAGCAGCAGTGCTGACGTGCATGTTGCTCTGCCGCGATCTGTTGTGCACACTGTTCTCTGCTGTATGTTGAACCTACTGTTGAGCATCGGTTTGAGCTCAAGGGCCCTGGCAACGATCATGTTGCACAGGGTGTTGAACAGAGAGCTGCATCTTTACAGGCCCTCTTGACTTGTGTGCAGTTGAACATATGTCACAATATAATAAACGTGGACTCCCAGTACAACCAAATGGTTTTTCGATGATGCTGCTGGTGTCCGCAGCGTAAGTCAATCACCTGTTGCCTCTGGTCTGTTTGTTTGGCTATGAGAGTGTGGGCCTTTTACTATCGTTGACCTCTTCCACGTTGGTTGTCTCACCACGGCGGTAGGCGTTGGTGGTCACCAAGCAGTGATGGTGAGTCCCATCCTGGCTCACAGCAACCCCAGACATCAAGGTTGGGTTTCCACGAAGGTCTGCTTTTCAAACCAAAGGGTGGGCTGTCTTCCGTGAGAGCCTGGAATCCACTGTACTCCAGAGCCTGCGTGACACTTGGCCAACGTCGGTCTGTGACCAAGTGATCTCCTCCAGTTTGAGAGGAAGGCTCAAATACTGGTGCACCGTGTTGAGGATGTGGGCGCCCCAATTACCCAAGCCTGTTGGCGCCAAACATGGTGAATCGGAGGCGGCATTCAGCCTCGACTTGTATTTGAGGGTTGTGGCGTTGAGGCTCGAATTTGCCAAGCGAAGCATGGCCTGCTGGAAATCCTGTTGCCAGCAAAGCAAGATCCAACTCTCGGTAGTCGCAGCGCTGTTGTGCATCTCCGTCAGGTGGTATAACAAAGCAGCGGCCGCTGCTTAGCTTGGGGCGACATTACCAGCAAGACTTTCTCGAAGCCAGGCACGCGAAGGTCTCCAAGGATTTACAGCACCACATTGGTGAGTTTTGCTTTGTTTGCAAGAGGCTGTCAAACTCCTCATGAGTTAAGCACAGCCACCAGACAGACTTGATGCCATTAATCAGATCCTGGTCGGTTGGTGTTCGCTCTCATGTCTACAGTCCTTGTTGGACCACCAGTCAGAGACACATTGACGAGAGTGTCTGTCATCTTTCTCTCTCCGCGTTGAGCAGAAATTGGTCTAAGCACTGCTTGTGTGACTTGGTCTGGAAGCTGTGTTGTGTCGTCGGGCTCATAGCGAGCAAGTTCAAACTCCCATGCTCCAACGGATTGCTCGAAGTTGATGGGATCAAAGACTGACTTGAGGAGCCTTGTGAGGTATCCAATGCTACATGTTCCAAGTGGTTGGGCAAGCCTGTTGCATAGTTGTCTGCACACTTCTAGGCCCATCTCGTGTTGGTGTGTTGGTGCTGTCTGCATAGTGTTGCTGCCGATCCCGTGGTGATGTTGATGAGGATGTACTTGGGATTGTTGCAATCTTGTGCCAATTTCTCTCCTTCCTCTATGTCAATGTCTGTTGCTGCTGCTCTGAGCTCTGCCTCTGTGAGTCCTGTTGTTGTTGCCTCGGTTCGTGTGAGCAGAGTTGGGAAAATGTTGTCTTGAAGGCCCATGTAGGTTGTGAATGTATATTCGTATTTCCACTCCTCGCGTCCTCGAAGGTGTTGTAGCTGTAGCTGCCAACATATCCATCATATGTTGGTGGTCTGAGCTTCAGCTTGTGTGTGAGGCCAGTGCGTCCATTGTGTGCTCATCTGCTGTCGCTGCTGGTGATGACATTGTCGCTGTTGAGAGTACCCCACACCGCATTGAATGGGATCAAGCCCTCTGCCTGTATTTGTGCGTGTATTGCTGCTTGTCTCTGTTTCTGCTTGTGCTTGCTTTGTTGACCGGCCGGTTACCCAAGTGCTCTCTGATTGCTGTGTTATATGTGATGTGTGTTGGGGCTCCCCTGGATGTTTCCAGGTTCACAGCTCCGCTACCATGAAAAACTCACAGCAGCAGTGTTGACGTACCCGTTGCTCTGCCACCATCTGTTGTGCACACTTTTCTCTGATGTATGTTGAACCTACTTTTGAGCATCGGCTTGAGCTCAAGGGCTCTGGCAACGATCATGTTGCACAGGGTGTTGAACAAAGAGCTGAATCTTTACACAATATTAGTTAATTACAAATATATATATATATTATATTATATAGTTTAAGTAATGTGGCTCTTCCCCGGAAGTCTATATCTCTTTCGCTGAACCCTCCACTCAGATGCCCCACCTGACTGGTAGTGATGTCCTTCTTGGGCGACAGCTCCGACGTTCCAGGCTCAAGGTCCTTTCGGGTAACCCAAACCCGTTGGTGTCGCAGTCGTGCAGACAGGAGTCGGGTCGGACGCATCGTCGTGCGTTCGTGTGAAAAAAGGAGCGCAGCTCAGCGTTGTGACTCCACAAAATGGTGGTGTTAGGACCCGACCAGGGGTGGTTTCTGGACACCTGTCACCAGGAAACACCTGTTGGAGGGTCGGAAGGGTATAGACTGATTAAATAAACGCACAACATCGACTAAAGAAGTATACGATCTCTGCGAGTCGCCTACTTAAGCGCTCAAACCGGCGCTCGTTGGGACCAAAACGACCTGCTTTTGGGCCCAGCAGCGCCGTTTGATTCGGATGTTTGGGAGAGTGTTGTTCGTTGGTTTTGAACTCACCGTGCTACATGGGTTCCACTGCAGCATCATCGGAACACATCTGAACGATGTCACATACCCAAACACTCTATATAGAATGGCACACACAGTCTCCTACATCGGGCTTCATGCATATGCCAGTCCCAAATCAGAGGTCCTGTCCGAGATATGGTCGACCCTAGTGGATTGCCAGTCCCAGGCAACGGCTGCAATCGATCACCCCGAAGGCCACGGCGGACCGAGTGCTCCGTGTCCGTCCCAGCAGCCCGCGTCCGTCCCCGCAGCCCGCGCGTCCGGTCCTCATGAATGGACCACAGCCCGCTGCTCAGGTTGTAACCGCGGCTTTTGGTTCGGGTTACCGGAGCGACTTCCCACCTGCAAGTTGGGGGCGCTCCTTCGTTCCAGCTTGGTGCTGAACGGGGGACATGGAATCCGTGACATGTCCAATGAGTATACCGTGCCATTTCCATGGTGTAAAGTTTGTCTCTTCGGGAGTTATAGAGGTATGGATGATATAGAGTATCTCAAGCATTCTCAAACATCCAGAGTCTGCCACACGAAAAGATCCACTGTACATTGAAGATATTGAAGAGTCAAGAACCGTTTTTGTTCTCCTATGGCCATGGCACATCATAGCACTGTACTTCGCACTATTCAGATCTGAAGCAGAGGCTCAAATCACTAGCCGCTCCAGCGGTCTCCCTCAGGTGAACCCGACAGCAAACCCAGCATCTCTGGCCCCCTGGATGGATGTGGTATACCTGGATCTTCCAACTGTGCCAGTTCTGCCTGCTCATCCATAAAATATGAACCAACTAAGGGTATGACGGGTCATTGTCATTCAATTCTATTCAGTGATTTCCGGTCTGCTGCAAAATGGTCGCGTCGCTTGGATTTCTGGCCTTGCTCCGCAACAAATGCTTCACTGAAATCCAGCGGAATGCGGAGCTCTCTATGCGAAGGACCTCGTCGATGAGCTGCACCTCACCTTGCCCGGACCCAGGCCAGCTTCGCCTGAAGCCTGTCATTCGGGCCCTCTTTCCGATCGATTCACTCACTTCAAGAAGACCCTGGGCGGCCCGGCGGCTAGGCCAGATCTCGATCCTCCACACCCCGGACGAGAGGTCCTGCCGGTCCGGCCTGGATGGCAACCAAGCCGGGTATCCAAAAAGCTTGGCCCAATCGCTGACACAGCGGAGAAGAACTTCCTCGAATTCCTGCGACGAATTCCAAGAGAGAGAGAGAGAGAGAGATGGGAAGGGCCTGTGTGATGAGCTTCTTGCCTTCTACAGAAAGAAAGCTTGTTTTTGCTGGGTTCTAAGAATTTTTAAGAGATTCCAACGGCTAACCGGGACTTTCGAACATATTTGCATGCATTGGGGTGGCATGTTTTTGGACCCATATGAAAGTTTATGTGTTTGCAAAGGTTGCTCCAGGTACATTGGGGAGGCTGATTGCATATCTGCACAAGCTGTGGTGAGTTGTTCAGCTTCGGACCCTCCAGGCTTTGACCTGTGGTGACGTGTGGTGTACGTTATAGCCCTTCTTTTCCTTGTTTTGTTCCCGTTCCAGGTCAGGCTTTGACCAAACCTCGTGAGGTGGACCCGGGACTAAAGCTCAAACTGGGCAGTGAACCGGATTCCATCCAGTCCTGCTGTGTACATGACGCGACCAAGGTGGCCTGGACAGCCCGCGCCGGTCGCGTCACTTCGCAAGTTCGCGGGGGAGGGGAAAGAATGGGAAGAAACACTGTGAACACCCTCATTTCGTGTGGTGTGGTGCGACCCTTCCATCCCAAAACAACACGGATGGAAGGCCAGCGGATGGAAGGGTCACCCGAACAGTGAGTGCCATTCGCCGAACATCACATATCGTCTCTGAGTTTAAAGGAACCTATACAGAGGTTAAGGTGCCTTATAGGACTCTACAGGAGTACCTATAGGATAGTCTATAGGGTTCTTCAACATGGGCCATCAATCTGACCGTCGGACTTGATCGTCGAGGCCAGCGGATGGCTTGCCTAGCACAGCGCAAACCCGGCACACAGCAGCTAGGAAACCTTTTAAACCCACCTTACTGAACACCTCCTAATCCCAAACACTCCATGGGACTGGAAGACTTGCCGAGAAACGACCAGGGGTGGTTGATTGCAGGGGTCAAGCTCGGGTGGTCCCAAGTCATTCGTCCTGCGAGGCGAGGTGCTTCTCGCTGGTCCAGCTCGGCCGTATCACGTGACACGCGTATCCGCGCGTCGGCTCGGGCGAACGAACCCATGCAGCCGGTCTCCCGGCAAACCCAACGTCGCCTGTGCCACTGGGTCCTGTGGACCTTTCCCCGTGGCGTCGACGACAAAAGGCGCCTGCGACGACGGTGAAAGACAGTGGTTTTCGGTCCGAACGGCGTTCACACCAGGTCCAACACGAGGGTTTTTCCGGGCAGGTGTTGGGGATTTTGGGTGATTCCAAGTCTTTCACCCAAAATCCCTTTTCGCGAGTTCATGGTCATCTACAGTGAAATGGAACAATTTGGAACATGAGTGGATTGGCTGTCCAGGATGAGTATGATGGTATACATACACCTCACAGATTAAAACCTGCAAGACCACGACATGCCTCTGAATCTGATCTCTTTCCCAGACGACCCAAGTCATCGGCTGCTTTGGCTGATGTGCAAAGATTCTTCTCCCCTCGATTGCCACCGGTGATCGGTGCTGTCGGCGGCTCGAGACGCGCCGCTGGGCCCCGCGGCGCGGCCAGTCAAGGGCAGATCCTTTATCTCGGCCAAGCGATGTGTCTCCCCAACCACCACCAGCAAAGGCCTTGGCAAAGAACAGGCATGCGGCGTTGGTGGAGTTTTGGATGACCGGCTTTTGGGGGGCTTTGAAGAGAAATAACCCCACCCTGAAGATGAATTCATTCCAGATCATTGGAGGTGGGAAGGAAGATACAGCAATTATATGCAATGATAAGTCATTTAAAGGGGATCAAAATGGATCAACGGTTGGAGCAGCATCGGCGTTCGAGAAAAAAGGCCTCATGTTCTGTTCATGACGAGGGTGGCCTGACGGACCTCATGGACTTGGGTGGAAGAATGACCGCCTCCAAAGGACTGCCATGTGGTCTCCTACATTGGGGTGGTGAAACGCATGGAGATGCGGAGTTGATGAAAGGTTTGACCTAGTAGATTCCAACACCAGGATGGGACTGGCTTTATAAGGCTTCAGAATGGAACTTCAGGCAATGAACAGTGGGGTCATTGCCTACCTGGAGTCGGAGTGCCGATTGCTCTGACCTTTCATCGATGCCATGACCGGAACCTTTTGCGATGCATCTGCCTGTTCTTCCACGGTCTCCCAACCCCCCGGTCAGTCGCTTCCAGGACTCCCGCGCCTGTGCAGGTTCCGCGCCCGGAAGTTCTCCAAACTTGGGCGAAGATCGGTCTTGAAGTCAATGACCCTGGCGATGGACATGTATTTTCTGTTTTCCAACTGGAAGATGTGAACCGGTGTGGAGAGAGAAGAAAGACTGGACCAGGCCTGTCTCCGGTTTGTGCGATGAAAGCGGAAGCGGACACCTCCAGGCTTCCAGGTGTTTTGAGGATTGGATCGATACTCCGACTGTATGGTCCAGGGTCACCTGGCCTCTGGTTTGGGCCAGAAACTCTGCGGAAGGTTTTGGTGGAAGGCCAATCTATCACCATTCAGGCCCCTGCTAGAGAAACAAAGTCTCAGAGCTTGTGTTTCTACACCTAGATCTTCCAACTGTGCAAAATGTGTGCCTCTTCATCCATAAAACCAAAATTTGTCACAGTTGGAAGACCTAGGTATGTGTCCATAAGGTGTCCGTCAACATGTGACCAGCAGCCTTTTCCGGATGTCCTTCATCGTTCGCCATGCAGCGTCCCTTCTTTCAGGTCCCAGTGGCTCGATGTTGTCGATCCCTGCGATGCGACTGTAGCGCTCGAAGCAATAGGAGCAAGTGGGATCCCGGATGGCCTCAGCTCGGAGGCTCAGCTCGAGTTTCACATGGCCGTGCACCACCTGGACCACAGGACCCCTGTGCGACGGTGCTTCCACCGATCTGTGCGGGGAAAGAAAGAGTGATCGACGTACGCCGCTGGCAACAAAAAGTGATGTGATGCAAACCTGATGATGTCAAGTCATTTACTCCGCAGCTGATTTTGTTCCTTTCAAGTATAGCTTGCTTAAATGAACTCTGCTTCGTCTTCCGGAGGAGCAAGGAGCCAAACGGATTCTGACTGCCTACGACCAACATCCTGGCGTCCCAAGAGCGATGCCAGGCACCAAGGCCATGGACCAATGACATTCCTCCAAAGCCAAGCTGTCGCGCTGGGTCGGGTTCACAGGTGATCTTCTCCTCTTCCCCACCCCACCCCGAAACCTGGAGAACCAGGGTTTGACCCTGACGGAAGTGGGGAAGCGGGGGGGCACAAAGCAGGTCCAAGCAGCCAGGAAGATATCCATCTCCAAAACTGTCCTCATCACTCCAGCGCGTCGGTTTCATCGTCCAGAAGCGAAAGAGAACCGATTTTTGTTTGGTCCGATCGAAGATCAATGGGGAACAGGAAGAAAACACGCCGAAAACCTATGAAACAAGACATCACGAGACGCATAGAACCAGGGTTTTGGGGCGATGAAACCTCCTGGCAGGGACAGCCATCAGCCCAGGTCGGTGTCCGTGCAGTTGTTTTAGCGTCTCCAGTCTCGACCCTCTTGGGGTTCGGTTCCATGTGTCCATGTCCAAAACGGTCGGTTACCGTCGAATGTAGACGTGGACTGGACGTTTGGTGCGCCGGCGCGAATCGAACACGGATTCGCGTCACAAACGAGAGCTCAGGACTTCGGCCGCCTCTATCAAAGAACAGAGTTACACTTGGACAGCTCGCAGCTCGAGCTTGTCAGCTTTGCCCGGGTGTGACTTTGGCTTGGAGGGTGCAAAGACGTCAGTCGGCCGATTGACCCGATTGCGTTTTTCAGCCCAGCAATGCTAGGGTGCAGGGGGAAAGCATCTCTGAAGTCTGCAGGGTTGCTTCACTAACCTTGTCCTATATAGCTATAGGGTGAACGGAAGTCTTCCCATGTTGACGAAGGCATCAGCCGCCCGAGTCTTTGGTAGATTGCACCATGAAACCTACAAAACGCAAAAACATATACCAGCACCGAACCCAATAGGTCTCCGAAATGGGTTGGGAAGGGCCTGTTGCAGGTTTCAATTGATGACCCGCCCCGCCGAGGCACGGAGATCGTGCGCGTCCCATGCCTTGGGACGTGCTTACGCGGAACACGCCGTGGAACGCCGCTCTTCGCATCATGAAAACGCCGTCTTCGCTTCGCAACCCCCTAGCAACCAAGTGATGAATCCCACACCCATACCTGATCAGTGATGTGTTCAACATGGTGAGAACAGCTTCGGTGCCAGGATGGTACCAGTCGTACCTTCTGCTGCTGCGAAAGTATGTGGATCCATGTGGATCCGGATCTACACAAAACAAAACACATCACCGCGATGCTGGATGCTTGTCTCACCAGGACCTTCAGTACGTGACCGTCGACTCATGAGATCGTGGCCTTCGGTCGAATCGTCCATTCGTTTGAGGTCACAAACAGGGTTGAAGAGAGACTCCGTGATCTCTACAAAGACGGCAAAGCGGCCAGTTCGAGCCGCCCGTCACAAACACAGACGAACAAAAGAGGTCACAGACTCACAGACTCTAACCTTAAGATGGACACCCCTTAACCTCTAAGGGGCTATCAATAGACACCCCTTAGGGGGTCCTGGAAGAGGTCACAGACTCCTGAGTCGTCCACATGTCGACACATGCACATGGTCGGCACACCAAGACCTAAGACTCGAGAGCAACACGGACTCCTCGCCATCGGTGTGGTGTTTCGATGAGGGGTTGCTCAAGGAAAGGCATGGCACCTGCATATCATAATACGTATACCAGCACCTTCAAAGGAATCACCAATGGAAGCCCCTACACTACTAAGGGACCTCCATTGGACCCCCCTTGAAGGTCCAGGTACGTACTGTAATGATATTACCTGGACCCGACTTCATTCGTACCTTAGAAAATGGGAGAAATGATTCCGTCAAAACAGGTACTTTCACGGGTCGACTCCTGGTATACACACATAAAAAGACTGACTCAGCGGCTTGGTGGAGAAGAACTCACTGGTTTTGACCCGAAAAGGCCTGAAATCCACGAAATCCACGAACGAAACCACCACCCCTTCAGCCGTCCACCACCCCTTCAGCCCTCAAAACCAACCCAGGCACTTTCAATCCGCGAATCCTTCTCATCCATGGCCCCCCCCAATACGAGTGGTGGTTCGGCGGCCCCTTGAGCCGCAAGTGCGGCGCACCAAGAGCGAGTCACACCATGCGAGTCCGGAACTCTGCATGTCGGTACATGTCGAGTCAGAACAACCGCTGTACGTCGATACATTTATCATCATTTGGCCCAAATGTGCGCGGACATCTGAGAGTTGACCTTTTGTGGCAAAAAAGTTACGTATTAGATCGCAAAGAACGAGAGAACGAGAAGGATTGGTTTTGCGTCAGTGAATTCGAGCTCAGGGAGTGACGCAGTGATTGAGGTTTGAAAAGGATTCTTGTTCCCTACTGTGGGATCGATCGTGTCTTTTTCGAGTGAAGACCGATTCTGAATGGCTGATCCGAACCCAAACACGAACTCCGCTGGGTTATGGCTCATGGCTCAGCAGCGGCGTGGTCTACTCCCTCTCGGAACCGGTACCCGCTCCTGGGCGCGGGGTGGAAAAGGGCGACGTGGCCTCCTGTCCGAAATCAACGTTCGATGGATGGAAAGCACCCGTTCGAATGCATCTCAAAATAGGATGATATCCATTCTCTCTTATACAAATCGGCAAAGAGTAAAAAAACACATCATGCCTTTTTGCGGGGTTTGTCTCAAAGCAACTGAGCCGGGGTAACACCGGATTTTCACACACCCCACGCCCCACGCCTTGTTGGCACCGGAAGTGTTTCGGGGGCTCGGCGACATGGCGTGGTGCTCGGCTGCGGGTTCCATGGATCTTTGAATTGATTGAAGGGACCAATTTACAGGACATCCCTATGCCTACAAGTCCTGTCTGATGCAGTAAAACCTGGTCCTTTAAGTCCTTCACCTCCTTATGTAGTATTTGTTTATGTTCAACTCCAGTAGAGTAAAATGAGGTCTTTGACCTGTATAGGGGTATAGTTTTGAAGGTGAAAGCACGTGAAAACCATTGTTTCTGGTCAGATTATTCCCTGTCTTCAGGTCCTTCCATGGTTTGGTGATGTGTGAAAAAGTGATTTCGCAAAGATATGAATACGGCGAAAACATGCATTTTTATGTTGCAAAAAAACATGTTCCTGGAGTGGTTTACACATGTGTTTTTAACATATTTTTATACTTTAGATATCTGCAACCACGATTCCCATGCTTCCCTTTTGTATCATGTCTCATTCTGCCTTCTTCCTGGTCCCCAAGCATCTCCCATCGCTGCCATCCGGTCTGTCCGGTCGCGCGCGGCTCTTTGGAACCCATGGCAACGCCGCTGGGCTGGACGGTTGGCCGCACGGGCCCCAGGGATTGAAGGTTGGGACACCCCGAAACACTCAGATCGATGATTTAGATGAAAAGGCACCTTCTCAAGCACGACCCGAACAAGAACATTCCCGATTACAGGACGCATCGTTGAAGTCAAGCGCAAGCTGGCGAAGAGTTGAAAGGTGACAGGCGCAGATGCATTGGGTCGTGTGACAAGTCCTTCAGAGGAGCTCGTTGATGATTCCGCGTATTGGCCCATTTTGACATCTGGAAAAGGATGGAAAAACATGTTTCTGACTCCAGAAAAAAAAGGTCACTCAGATTCTACACGGTTCTACATATTGACAGTGCGGATCGACTAAGCTGGATTCCAGGAAGTCACCCCTGTCCAAAGGAGGAAGGTGATGAAAGGTGATTCTATTTCAAGGAACATCTACCGATGTTAACACCCCCAGTTTCTCCTAGTATTTGGGGGCTTCCAAAGCGCAGTTTCATGTAGAAGTTACCAAGCCAATAACAAATCCGGACTGAGCACTGAATGGAAGTAACCCTCCCTCGCCAAGCACGCTCCTTTTTGGAAGGACCACCAATGCCAAGGGGAGTTGCTGCAGGGCTGGCAGGTCAGCAGAGCCCCCCCAAAACTCCACCAGAGGAACAGCAACTTGCCCTGTCGGACTAGCAGGGGGCATCAGCTATGCCAAAGGTCACCAAATCTGGGGAGGGAGGGTGGGACAAAATAGATCTCTCAACCACCTCTACAACCTCAACCCAGCAAAGCTGCAGCCACTGAAGTGAGCAGGTGATCTGGTCCAACACTCCCTCTCCAAGCACGCTCCTTTGTGGAAGGACCACCAATGCCAAGGGGGGCAGCACCTGCAGCAGAGCCCCCCAAAACTCCACCAAACAAGGCGTGGTCCTTCCGAGCACTTCCTCTCAGTGGCTCCAAAACAAAGCGTGCTTGGAAGTGTCGCTGGACACTGTCTGCCGGCTTGGATTCAGTAGCGCCAGCCAAACAAGGCATAATCGCTTACCAAGGTCCAGCCCCGAAATGAAAAGCTCTCTTGACCAGCGATCCGCCCAAACCCACCTCTACAAAATAGATCTGTCAACCACCTCTACAACCTCAACCCAGCAAAGCTGCAGCCACTGAAATGAGCATGCAAGGAGGTGAGGGTTTGCAGGTTCACCTAAAGCACTGAGCACAGGAGTCTGAGCACGTCCCAGCCGCACAGGATGCGGTCAAGTCCAGCTGTTTGAAAGCATTCTTTACAAAGCAACCTGAGTTCCACTGAGTTCTACTTACTTTCAAAGCTATCTGAATAGACGGACCCCTGAAAAAGTCTGTGTCCATGACCCACTCTATCTAGCGAACATCTATCAAGCAAATCCGTGCACTAGACACCCACTAGAACCCACTATAACCCATCTATCCCACTAGAACCCGCTTCCCAAATAGCACCCATCTGCCATGCGCTCCTTTTTGGTCGACCGTGCGTTTGGCGACCAGACGTCGTCACGACTCGCCGTCGTGGGCGACCTTTCAAACGACGATGAGTCTGGCTGTTTGGCTTAGAGCTGCAATTGTCATCCTGTCCTGGTGACAGCTCAAGCTCATGTTTTGCTGTATTTTGTTGCATTGCTAGAGATGGTATCTTTGTCCTTCGTCAGTTTCTCTCACAGGAGAGTCCATGAAGATGGTCCGTCTCTGTCGGTGTCATCCTTGGGCAAAAACAACTGAATTGATAATGTCAATTGAGTGCTCTACTCTGTGATCCCAATCATCTTAAAATCTCTGTGGTAGCCCAATGGCTATGCTTTGGATCTAAAATCCCAGCTTTCACATCAATTGCTGCATGCGATGAGATGTTACCCCAATCAGGGTGAAGTATCCCCAACAAGAAGTCTTTGGCAACACCACAACATCCCAGAGCCGCTAGCCTTCCTGGTTCTGCAGTAGGTGACCAAACTTAATCCCCATGGTTTCATATTCACTGAAGCTGGGAAACCTTGAATTTGCTTAAGGAACCTGGAAAACCCACAGATTTCAGGATAAACCCGTTGAACATCACTAAATCACCTGATCAGCCCCCAAAACCGAAAGAAAGGTGACTGGCTGGGACGTCCAGGAAGTTCACTTCGCAGAACCCGTTGTCTCTGGGCACCAATGAGTGGAACGACTGCCACCGACCGAGAACGGGCCAACTCCACTCGGCTCGGCTCCACTCCACTCGCTTTGCCGCCGGCGCTCATTCCAAGGCGACCTCCGACTCGAGTGGGTTGGGTCAGAGGAGTTCGGTGGTTCGATTGCAGATCTGGAGAGGAGAGTCATTATAGAATTACACGGGAGATTCCTGCCAGCACCTTCGAAGGGGTCACCAATGGAAGACCCTACACTACCTAGGGATCTCCATTGGACACCCCTTTGAAGCTCCAGGTACAGATGTTGTAATTGTCCGGAGTCTATTACACCGGAGATCTGTAATTCGACGCGTGGTCGACGCATGTTTTGGAGGTGTCAGTATGTCAGTGAGCGAGCGCACAAAGCCTATTCACACACACACACAAATGCGGAAGTCCATAATATTGGCACTTTTGGTTGTTCACGACATCAGCAGTGTTTTGGATACCTGTGTCAATCTTACACATGGATATGGGTAGAGGCGGAGAAGAGAAAGATAGAGAAAGACAGAGGATTCTATTCACACTGACAGCAGCCCTTCCTTCCCCCTTCACTGCCGCAGCGATATTTTTCTAGAGCTCTTCACTCGTTGGTATCACTTTTGAATGTTCACTATACCGCTCTACAGGGTTCCCTCATCATTTCTACCTTGAGTCTCCAAAGACATTGTTTTTCTGCGTTTCTGTTTTGGGTCTAATATTTTTGCGTTTTTGATCGAAAAACGCGCTTTCAGAGATGAGGACTCCAAAAAAGGTACAGAGTGAATCTTCATCCGGACGCGTCCGGTGCGGACGCTTAAAGACGCCGACGCAAAAAGACGCGTTTTGGACGCCGAAAAAAGGTCTCAGGACATTGTCTGAGGATCTGACAGGGCGCAAACAAAAAAGGAACATTTCGTGACATATGCAAAAAGAGTGCTTTCTTTCAAAAAACATCTTTTTCTTGGAAAGGCAAACTTAAAAGGGTCATTGGAGACTCAAGACTCAAGGTATATACAAAACTTCCTCTCACATAAAGATTCGTGACTGGACCCTTTTGGCTGTTGCTCATGTCTTAATGGCGGGATATCGACCTTTACCTGACGGCAAGGACTCTCAATCATTGATCTATATAGATCTTCTCACCCGCGCGCTGCGCAACGCGACACACGAAACGCGCCGCGCTGGCGAAACGCGCCGCTGAGGGAAGAAAAACCGCCGGCGGCATGACCCACCAACGGCTGATCGTCTTCGAACGGACCGTGCCAGGAGTCCTCTCTGTTGGTGACCTCTTCAAACAAACAGACGAGTCATGTGACCGACCCCACTGAGATCTCCAGTTCGGTCCGGACCGTGCATGGTGCTGCAGCGTCCGACGAACGGGTGCGACCGTGCGACGAACTCGCCGGGGCGGTTCGGGACCGAGCGACCCAACAGGTCGACGCCGTTGAGTACGCGCGTGTCGACGTGTCCTTATTAGTAGTCCAATGCTTCGGGATGAGTAAGGCTATTCAAGGCTGGAAGGAAAGGACCATATATGAACATACATGACATACCAGCACCATGACAACATCTTCATAGGCCTCCTGATATCGGATCCTGTTTCAGTGCAGACCATTCTTCATCTCATCCTGGTGGAACCAGCTAACCGGTCCATGGTTAGCCTGAATGAGGAACAATCGATGTTCCAGTTGCCGCAC